GGGTGGGAGGGGGTTGAGGGGGGTTTGGGGGGTCCGGAATGAGCAGCCCCCTCCCCCGTTTTTGCAGTTTACAAAGGGGATGTGGCCAGGTTGGTGGGGGGCGATCGTGAAGCGGCACCGGCAACACCGGGAACGTCGGGAGCACCGGGAATGGGGAAACCGGGAACACCGGGACCGGAAACACCGGCGACACCGGGACCGGGAAAACTGGGAGCTCCGGGACCGGGAACGTCGGGAGCACCGGGAATGCCGGGATTGGGAACACCGGGAGCACCGGAACCGGGACAGCCCCGCGGGCTCATCCTGCTGGTCCCGGCGCGGTTGGGGGGCGAGAACCTGAACCCCGTGTACGTGGGGTGCGTCAAGGTGGGTCTGGGGGCGATCCCGGTGCCGATCCCGGCGCCGATCCCGGTGCCTTTCCCGGTGCCGATCCCGTTCCCGTTCCCGGTACCGATCCCGGTGCCATTCCCTGTGCCATTCCCGTTCCCGATCCCGGTGCCGATCCCGGCGCCGTTCCCGTTCCCGGTGCCGATCCCGTTCCCAGTGCCATTCCCGTTCCGATCCCGTTCCCGATCCCGGTGCCGTTCCCGTTCCCGGTGCTGTTCCCATTCCCAATGCCGTTTCCGTTCCCGGTGCCATTCCTGTCCCCGATCCCGGTGCCGTTCCCGGTGCCGTTCCCGGTGCTGTTCTCGGTCCCGGTGCCGTTCCCGATCCCGGTGCCGTTCCCGTTCCCGGTGCGTTCCCGGTGTCACCGCGTGTCCCCCCCCCGCCAGGAGCTGCTCCAGCTCCGCTCCTGCCTCGGCATCATCGGCGGCAAACCCCGGCACTCGCTCTTCTTCCTCGGCTTCCAAGGTACCGATCCCACCTGGGGGGGGGTCCCCGGGGGGGTTCCGGGGGTCCCCGACCCCCTCCGTGCCCCCTCCCCAGGTGATTCCCTGCTCTACCTGGACCCGCACCTCTGCCAGCCCTGCGTGGACACAACCCGGGAGAATTTCCCTCTCCAGGTGGGGGTACCCCCCAAAATCGGGTTCTGGGAGGGGGGGGGGGGCAAAAATTTCCTGCCCCCCCCCCAAGTCCTTCCACTGCTGCTTCCCGAGGAAAATGTCCTTCGGGAAGATGGATCCCAGCTGCACTTTTGGATTTTACACCCGTGGGACGGAGCTGGAGCAGCTCTGGGGGGACCTGGCCCGGGTGAGTCCCGGGGGGGGGGTCCTGGGGGGGCTGTCCCCCCCCCGTTTCCCGCTGCCGACCCCTCCCCTTTTTCCCTTTTCCCCCAGGTGCTGGCCCCCCCCCGTTATCCCATCTTCACGCTGGCCGAGGGTCACGCTCAGGACCAAGCCCTGGACGCCCCCCCCGCGCCGCCCCCTCCCCTCCCCCGCCGGGGGAAACGCCCCAAAAAACCCAACTCGGACGAGTTCGTCCTGCTGTGAGACCCCCCCCAAACACTGGATGAGCCCCCTCCTCAAATTGGGGCTGGTTTGGGTCACTACTGCCCCCCTCCCAAACACTCCGGGACCCCCCCCCCCCCCCCCAAATAAAGACAACTTGAATGGAGCTCGGTGTCCCCGAGGTGCTGCAGATTTTCCAGGTGGTTCTGGGGTTTTTTCGGGGGGTCTCAGGTGTTTTCTGGGGGTCTCAGATGATTTCCCGGGGGTCTCAGGTGTTTTCCTGGGGGTCTGGGGCGTTTTTTCTGCGTTTCTGTTTTTTCCCATTGACGGCCGCTGTTTTCCCGGGGTTCCCTGGATTTTTCCCGGGGTTTTTCTCTGTATTTTTCTCGGTATTCCCTGGATTTTTTCCGGTGTTTTTCTCTGTATTTTTCCCGGTGTTTTCCCCGGTATTCCCAGGGTTTTTCCCGGTATTTTTCCCAGGGTTCTTCCCGGTATTCCCTGGATTTTTTCCGGTGTTTTTCTCGGTGTTCCCAGGGATTTTCTCAGGATTTTTCCCTGGATTTTTCCCGCTGTTTTTCTCTGTATTTTTCTCAGTGTTCCCTGGATTTTCCCCTGCATTTTTCCCAGTGTTTTTCTCGGTGCTCCCAGGGATTTTCCCGGGATTTTCCCCTGCATTTTTCCCGGGGTTTTTCCAGGTGATTTCTGGGGGTCTCAGGTGATTTCTGGGGGGGGTCTCAGGTGTTTTCCTGGGGGTCTGGGGCGTTTTTTCTGCGTTTCTGTTTTTTCCCATTGACGGCCGCTGTTTTCCCGGTATTCCCTGGATTTTTCCCGGTGTTTTTCTCTGTATTTTTCCCGGTGTTTTCCCCGGTATTCCCAGGGTTTTTCCCGGTATTTTTCCCAGGGTTCTTCCCGGTATTCCCTGGATTTTTTCCGGTGTTTTCAGGATTTTTCCCTGGATTTTTCCCGCTGTTTTTCTCTGTATTTTTCTCAGTGTTCCCTGGATTTTCCCCTGCATTTTTCCCAGTGTTTTTCTCGGTGCTCCCAGGGATTTTCCCGGGATTTTCCCCTGCATTTTTCCCGGGGTTTTTCCCGCCATTCCCGGGGTTTTTCCCGCCGTTTTTCCCGCCTTTCCCCGGGCTCTCCCCACCTTTCCCCCTCTGCCTCCTCAGCTGCCGGAACCGGAGCCGCCGGGGGTTGAGGCCGAAGGCTTCCAACCTCTTCCCGCTGAACTCCCGGCCCCCCAAGCGCACGGCAGCACCCAGGGGGGCCCCCCCACCCCGGCGCCGGGGACCCCCGGGATTTTGGGGGGCTGCGGGGGGGTCCCCTTTCTCCCCCTCCTCCTGACGCTTCCTCTTCTCCCGGCGTTTCTTCCCAAATTTCGTCTTGGCCGGCGCCGCCTCCGCCTCCTCGGGGCTGTGAGGATGATGATGATGATGATGATGATGATGATGATGATGATGATGGGGGAGGGTCGGCGGTGCCGTGAACCCCCCCCCAAACCCCCC